ACAGAGTAACCCTCCAAACAACAACAACAAACAAAACAACAATGCACAGGTGAGTGGAAACAAAGGTGCGGCAGAACGGTAAATATTGAAAACTCTTCTGTAGGAAAAACACAGATCTTGGGGCAGTGGTGGCCATATGAGGGGTGGGGGAGGAAGGATGGAAGGAGGGGGAAGGAGGAAGGAGGGAAGGAGGGAAGGATGGGGAGTTAGAGGAATGGAGGAAGGAGATGGAGGGGTGGGAGGATAACACAGACACATACACCTGAGCATATTACAGGTAAACGATCCTCTACGTAAACAAAATAGCCTCCATGGTCCGGGGATGGGAGGGAGGGGGCGGGGGGGCAGACCACTTGAAGAGACCATTGTAAGCAGACCCAGCCGGAGTAAAGGGGCCATTCTTGCCCACATTTATGGTCCACAACCGGCCATGACCACCACCCTCCCTCCCCCGCCCCTGTACTGCTTCTTCTTCTTCGGGTTGTGATGGTGGCGCGTGTACAGGTTGAGAGAGGCTGTGTGGGTATTTAGTTGTAGGTGATACTGGTGTTTTGTAAAAGTCATTGTGTGGTGGATTATCATTGGGAACTGTATCGACCCCCTCCCCCTCCCCTCACCAAAGCTTATTTCACCTGATGATTAAACACCTTTACCTTATTTACCTTTAGTTTATTATTCTATGTTTATTCCTCTCTCCTTCATTCCCTTATTCTCTTTATCTCCTTATTCCTCCCTCACCCCGTTCCTATTCCCACTCTCTCTCTCCCCCTCCTCCCTAGCAAGTAGTCTCCTCTCCAATTTCTCCCCCTCTCCCCTTCCCCCCTCCCTAACAGACCAATTTACAGAAGGTTACAGTTCCAAATCGTTATATATATATTTATTTATCTAGGCTTTAAGGTCGTTTTCTGCAGCGTTGTGTTCGGATAATGTGATCGAATTAAAGATTGTGTTTACGTGAGAGCGGTGGGGTGATGGGGGTCGTGGGGTGATGGGGTGGGGTTGGGGTCGTGGGGTGATGAAGTCGTGGGTGATGGGGTGGAGGGTCGTGGGGTGATGGGGTGGAGTCGTGGGGTGATGGGGTGGAGGTCGTGGGGTGATGGGGTGGAGGGTCGTGGGGTGGTGGAGTGGAGGGGTCGTGGGGTGATGGAGTGGGGGTCGTGGGGTGATGGAGTGGAGGTCGTGGGGTGGTGGAGTGGAGGGTCGTGGGGTGATGGGGGTCGTGGGGTGATGGGGTGGAGGGGTCGTGGGTGATGGGGTGGAGGTCGTGGGGTGATGGAGTGGAGGGGTCGTGGGGTGATGGGGTGGAGGTCGTGGGGTGGTGGAGTGGAGGTCGTGGGGTGATGGGGTGGAGGGGTCGTGGGGTGATGGAGTGGATCGGGTCGTGGGGGTGATGGAGTGGAGGTCGTGGGGTGATGGAGTGGAGGGATCGTGGGGTGATGGAGTGGAGGGGTCGTGGGGTGGATGGAGTGGGGTCGTGGGGTGATGGAGTGGAGGTCGTGGGGGTGATGGAGTCATTAGGTCACAGGGTTGAATGTATTAAAGACAAAAGTAAATTAACATATTTTAGGAGAACCACATTAGCCCCTCCCCCTCTTCCTCCCCCCCTCTCCCCTCCTCCTTTCTTCCTCCCTCCCACACAGCACGGTTCACTCACAGGGCAGATAGTTAACAAATATGAAATCAATGTGTGTGTGTGTGGTGGGGGGTGGTGGGGGGCAACAGGCTGGAAAAAATTAATTTGTTCGGCCACCAGTACTGAGGGAGGGGGGGTGGCGGCCATTTTGAATTAACCCCCCACCCCTCACCCCTCACCCCTCGGGCTTGGTATTCTTGTTATTCCCCGTTTGTGACACCAGAGGGGATATATTGATTGACTCCTAATTTTTCTGTCTGTCTGTACGTCCGTAAGTTTGTCCGTTGGTCCGTTGGTGATAAAACAGCATCAGTCAATTAAGTACAGCTTGTTGTTCGTTTTTATCCGTCACGTAATTTTTGGTTAGGTTTTGGTTAGGTTAGGTTAGGTTAGGGTGAGGTTAGGTTAGGGTTAGGTTAGGTTAGGGTTAGGTTAGGTAGGGTTAGGTTAGGGTTAGGTTAGGTTAGGTTATGTTATGTCTCCTAGTAACCTCCACACTACTAGACTTCTACTCTTCCTCTCCCCCTCACTCTGCCCCCTCCTCCTTCCCTCTCCACTCCAATTTATCTTCTTTCCCCTTCCCTCTCTTCTGCTCCTCCCTCCTCTTGCTAATCTCCCCACCTTCTCCTATACCCCTCTTGTTTACCTCACGTAGGAGACTTTACCCTCCACCCCTCCCCCTTCCTCTCCCCCTTCCCCTCCCCCCTCCCCTTACTACTTAACCGGGTTGAAGCAGTTAAGGTGATTAGCATAAATGGTCCTCCCAAATTTGTGTCGGCGTGTATAATCAGACCCAGTGTACAGTTTCGACGACTTAAGGATATATATATATTTTTTCCTTTCCTGGGCGGAGCTGCTGTGGGAAATGTTGGTGCTGTGAACATCCTGTGGGTGGGAGGCTGCTGTGGGGGGCGTGAGGGGCTGTGAGGGGTAGTGAGGGGCGGAGAGGGGCTGTGGGGTGGTGTGGTGGTGGTGTGTGGTGGGTTGCTAAGGGCGTGAGGGAAGAGGGATAGGAAGGTGTTGGAGGAGGTAGTGAGGATGGGGAGGGGGAGAGGGAGGGAGGCGTAGAGGGGAGGAGAGGAGGGAGAGAGAGAGGGAGGAGGGAGAGGTAGTAAGGTGCCCCCTCCTCCCCCAATACAAACCTACAGTAATCTTTCTCAATTAGTTAATCACAAGTGATCGCCGGCCCTTCGTGCCCAGTGAAAGTTTGAACTCTCGTGCTTGGCTAGTGTACAGTGAATGAGGGTGCGCCAAGTCCGTAGACTTGCATCGTTTTCCAGCGTAAATAAAATGGTTAATTAATGCCTTCCTAAAGAAACCATCGACATGGGACCAGGTTTGTTCCACTCTACGAATTTTTTGCGATTTTTCCACCAAGTTTGATGAAAAACGATTGTGCCGTTTCGGCTGCACAGAACAGACACACAGACAGACAGACAGACAGACACATACAGACACATGGCTATTCCTATAGTATATTAGATACTCGACACTGACAACCAAATCCAATATTTATACAGTAAAACCTCTATTTAACGGACTATATGAGGATGAGAGTCCTTATATCTCGAGGGTCCGTTAATTATGAAACACCCTAAATAACGGACTATATGAGGATGAGAATCCTTTATATCGAGGGTCCGTTAATTATGAAACACTCTAAATAACGGATTATATGGAGAGAAAATTCGTTTTATGGCTACAGTGGGAGGAGAGAGAGAGAGAGAGAGAGAGAGAGAGAGAGAGAGAGAGAGATGGTTTAGGCCGTTACCCTCAATATAAACAATGGCCTCCCCAACATGGCGGACCACCAGAAAAAAAAAACAACAACAATGTCATTCCCATATTTATTTTCAGGTTTACTTTTATTATTTATCCTGTAAGTAAATTTATAAACAGGTGTTGGCTTTGTGGATATTTTTGTTTGTGATAAGAGATTTTTAATCGTAAGAGCTTTGGATTGCACGTGGTTCTTGGAGAGAGAGAGAGAGAGAGAGAGAGAGAGAGAGAGAGTTTAGTTGGCTTATGGTTTCATCCATTTCCTGCAGTTTCTCCTCTCGACATCTCCCCAACCTCTCCCAACCTCACCCCAACCTCACCCTGCCCTCTCCAACCTCTCCCTACCCTCCCAACCTCTCCCCAAATCCTGCAATCTCAAAAAATCTTCCTTAATTTCTTTTTCCCCTTGGCCGCTGATAAGAGAGACTCGTTCACTCACAGGGCAATTTCGTCACTAATTTAGCGGATGTCGTTCTGTCGTAACATAATTGAGGCTTAATTAAGACTCGTTCTCACATCTCTCGTATTAAGAGTCGTTCTCACATTTCTCGTTCGCGAAAAAAAATATTGAACGTTCGTAGCTTTGTAAATATTTAAGATGGCGTGTTGAGCTTCTACGCTTAAGGAAATGAAAATTGAATGGTTGCAATTTTATAATCCTGAGATAAGTGTTGATTATATCCAGCTTATGAAATTGAAATCAAACATTCTAAACTATGTAACCCTGAGATAGGTGTTGATTATATCCAGCTTATGAAATAGAAATCAAACATTCTAAACTATGTAACCCTGAGATAGAGGCGTTTTTTATATATATATATATCAAGGTTAGAAAATAGAGAAACCAAACATACGAAACTTTAAGTAAAATAAAACGAAAGATTCATACATCTCCAACTACGGCATTTTAAAACTCGAAATTACATAAGTTTTGATATAATCTTTCTCTAGTGGATACCGTGGATGGGTAGGTGTGTAGTTGCCCATCTCCCTCCTCCACTACCACCCCCACCACCTCCAAACCTCCAAGGCAATATTAAGTTGTCTCCACAGCCTGACAAATTCGCGCGAGAAAATTGACGGGAAACTGAGGACTATTGTAGAGTGTTGGTTCTTTCCAACGAAATCCTACCTGTGATGTGTTTTTGTTTTATTGTTTATTCTTGTTTATCCTTGTTTATCTGTCTATTGAAATTACTTGTTTATTATAATGTTTTTTTTTTGGAATACGTTTTTGTGAAGGATGTATAGTATTATGTGTGTAAGGGTTTGTATGTATGGATGAATGTCCAGATACGACACACACACACACACACACACACACACACACACACACACACACACACACACACACTAAAAGGCTCAAACGCCATATTTGTTTACTATTATTGTTTACGTTTTTCTGCTCATGCGTTTTACCACAACCAACCCTCGCGCGTCACGGCAAACTACAGCATACGTAATTTTTTCTTAAGTTTCACGGCCAAATATTCACCAGGTATTAGTTTATCACGGCTAAATATTCAGCAAATTTTTGTTTTACGGCCACATAAGTTTATTACGTAAATAGTCACCAAATAAAGCTTACCATGGCCAAGAACGTCCTTGCTGAAATGGCCATGTTGAGCTAGTGGTGGACCGGCCAGTGACCCTTCCTGCACGCACTGTCAACTAAATTATTTTCGATATTGTTGACGACAAGAGTGACGGATTCTAAGAGGAGGAGGAGGAGGAGGAGAAACGACGACCTACCCCCTCCCTGGCTTGATGGCTACTGATGCTACACGTTGTTGTTACTCTTTTTATACTTAGGAGGAACGAATGAGGTTGTCTGTTCCGCGTGTGTCTCTCTTCTTTAACGCTAAAATGTAGCGGTGGTGGTGGTGGTAGTGGTGCGTCTGTTGTGGTAGGGGGAGAGAGGGTATATCGTCGTGGTAGTGTGGTAGGGTGGTTTGTGTGGTGGTAGTAGTGAGGATTGAAGAACTCTTAGAATACGCCTCCTACTTCTCTTCCTTCTTCTTCCTCTTCTTTCCCCTTCCTCTTTCCCTCTCTCCCCTTCCTGTTCCCCCTTCCCCGTCATCCAGGGCAGATATCTACTGGTCCTCCCCTCCCAGGACGCGGTATATCTCGAGTCTTTTGTGTAGCCAGACGAGGTGTCCGTCCCCTCCTCGCCCTCTATCTTCTCCCTATCCTCCTTCCCCCCCCTCCTCCCCCTCTCTTCCGGGTATGAGGGATAGGCGCCTATTCCTCCACCTTTTGTACACATATGAGCGATTTCTATGTCTCGAGGAAGAGCAATACTTCAGGAGGAGGAGGAAGAGACGAAGGAGGAGGAGGAGGAGACGAAGGAAGAGAAGGAGGCAAGAACAGGGTAAGTCGTCACAATTTACTAGTCTAAGATCCGGGTTCTGAAAGTCTCCTTACGAACGAAATTATGGGGATTTTTTGGTGTTTTCAGAGTAATTCCTCCTACCTACACCCATTCTTTACCTCACTTAAACCCACCTCATCCATCTCACCCACCTCACCCACCTCACCCATTCATCCATCTCACCCACCTCACCCTCTCACTCCATTTCCATTTAACCTGTCTCATCCACATCACCTACTAACCCACCTCAATCCACCTCAACCCACCTCCACATGACTGGTGGGCCGTTCTGACAGCCTTCACAACCAATGTTTCTGCTCCATTGCGTCTCCTCGGCCAGAAATACACTTGCCTCTTGCTCCATGTAGGTGAGGCGAGGCGAGAGGTAAGGCAAGGCGAAGTGAGGCGAGGCGAGAGATGAGGCAAGGCGAAGTGAGGCGAGGCAAGGCTAGAGATTCTTCAGTATTGGTCAGATTTGTTCTCCTCCAACACACCATAACACAACACTGAGAGAACTATTATACATACGGTTTAAATAATAGAGTTTATATCAGTGGGGCGTAAATAACACCATTTGTTTAGCGGTGTATTTAGTATAGTATGGGCTTGTGGTATGACACTATCTTGCCCTTGGGTATTTTTTTTTTTGGGGGTAATTGTGAAAAGTCAGAGTTATATAGAAAATATTTGAGATAGATCTATAGATAAAGGATTACTTGTGATATAGATGTGTGTGTGTGTGTGTGTGTGTGTGTGTGTGTGTGTGTGTGTGTGTGTGTGTGTGTGTGTGTGTGTGTGTGTGTGGTCCCCAAACCTACACAGCATGAGAGGGAGGAGGTCCTGGTAACAGCATGATAGAGTTTGACGTGTTCTGCCTCCCCCTGCCACCTAACATTTCCTTGACGATATTTTGTCGACTTCTTCTTATCAGCCTCAACACTGGCAGCGGGAGGGAGTGGAGGGAGGGAGGGGAGGAGGGAGGAAGGGAGGGAGGGGAGGAAGTTCTGCACACTGATAACACTTACATTGGTTCCTCTCTACGTGTGGCCTCCTTATGCTTGGACACATTCCAGGCTGTTTCTTGACAAAATTCACGTTGTGTTGTTTTGCTTTTAAGTGTATTTTCTACGGTGATTTTAGAAGATTTTTCGTAAAATTCTTCTTCTAGTTTGTGAATTCCATGATGGTGATGGTGGTGGAGAAAGGTCCGGGGTGGAGGTGGAGGTAGTGGTGTGGAGAAAGTTGGCCCTGGGTGAGGTGGTGGGAGGTATGGTGGTGGGAGAAAGGTCTGGGGTGGGAGGTGGTGGAGGTGGTGGTGGGGAGAAAGTTGGCCCTGGGTGTGGAGGTGGTGGGAGGTAGTGGTGGTGGGAGAAAGGTCCCTGGGGTGGAGGTGGTGGAGGTAGTGGTGGTGGGAGAAAGTTGGTCCTGGGGTGGAGGTGGTGGAGGTAGTGGTGGTGGGAGAAAGTTGGTCCTGGGGTGGAGGTGGTGGAGGTAGTGGTGGTGGAGTGTTGGCCCCTGGGGTGGAGGTGGTGGAGGTAGTGGTGGTGGAGAAAGTTGGTCCTGGGGTGGAGGTGGTGGAGGTGGTGGTGGAGGCAAGTTGGCCTGGGTTGAGGGAGGTGGTGGAGGTAGGGGTGGTGGAGAGTTGGTCCTGGGTGAGGTGGTGGAGGTAGTGGTGGTGGAGGCAAGTTGTCCTGGGGTGGAGGTGGAGGTAGTGGTGGTGAAAGTTGGTCCTGGGTGGAGGTGGTGGAGGTAGTGGTGGGGAGAAAGTTGGCCCCGGGTGGAGGTGGAGGAGGTAGTGGTGGAGAAAGTTGGCTCTTCGGGGTGGAGGTGGTGGAGGTAGTGGTGGGGAAAAAGTTGGCCCCGGGGGTGGAGGTGGTGGAGGTAGTGGTGGAAAAAGTTGGCCCCGGGGTGGAGGTGGTGGAGGTAGTGGTAGGAGAAAGTTGGCTCCTTTTTCTTTTATCCTCTTCGCCACTGATCGGCTTGTTAGCCGCTTGGGCGAATGGTCACGACTCTTTTTTCCTTTTATATTCTTCACCAAAAGGTCGGCTCTAGCTGCCCGGGCGATCGGTCACGTCTCTGTCACGCACTGTTGGTAACATTGGGCATGCACCGGCTCCTGAATGTACCTGAACCTGCTCCAGTGTTGGTCAAGTTTTCTTGAAAGAGCTCACACTCGGTGCCGTCACAACACTTTCTGGTAGATTGTTCCAAGAGTTTAGCAACCCCTCACCTGAAAGTTTTCTGTTCCTCACGGTTTTCCGGACTTGCGGTTTCTTCAATCTTGAGCTGTGACCCCTTGTGGGGCGAGCGTCTGCCAGTGCTCCAAGTATGACACACTCAACTGGAGTAGTGCCCCTGAGATGCTTATAAACTCCAACTAGGTCCCCCTGCCCGTCTGTAGTATAAGGCTAGGCAAGTTCAGGCGCTCCAATCTCGCAGGGTAGCTGGAGATGCCGGCGCAGGCACCAGCTTGGTGGCCCTCCTTGAACATTTCAACCAACTGACAGTCCCAGCATATCTGGGACCAGATGGGGTGACAGTAATCTAGAGATGAAGCACTTCACTCCTGAAGATCGTCACGAGGGGACGGACCGTCTAGATATCTGAACGACCTTCTTATAAGACCCACAATTTATTTGCCTGATTTACCTTCTTCTCACAATGGCCCGAGAACTTCAGCTCATTGTCAACATACACACTCCAGGTCCTTCTCACACACAGTCCTCAACTAGCAACATTTTCTTCATCCTGTTGGGACATATGGCATGCCTCCTGTCGTTGGTACGCCCCAGGTAAACTCTTCCACACTTCGTGACATTGAATCTCAGCAGCCATTCCTTCGACCATTCGGAGCCCACAGAGTGTCCTTCTGCAGCTCATAGTCCGCTTGTTCTTAATTTCCGAAATAACTTGGCGTCATCGGCAAACATTTGTATGGAGGAGGTACAACGTCAGGCATATCATTTATGAAACAAACAAACAACAGCGGGCCCACATAATTACCCTGCGGTACCCCCACTTGTTACAGGTACAGATGACGATTTTCAGCCATTAATCACCACACATTACTGTTTGGTGGTCATGTAGAAAAGTCTTCTATCCACGCTAGGACATTTCCCCGAATTCCGTACCCTTCCAGTTTGATTTTCAGCCTGTGGGGTACACTGTCGAAAGCCTGGCAAAATCTAAATATTGTCGATATTACCACCCCGTTCTAGGAATATGGGTCCAAATATCCAATACCTTGAGCAATTGTGTCAAGCAAGAGCGCCCCGGCATAAAACCGTGTTGGCAATCTTTACAAGTTGTTTCAGTAGATGTTCCATCGCTGCATCTCTGATAATACTCTCAAGTACTTTACATATTATGCCGGTCAGGCTCACCGGTCTATAGTTGTTCGTGAGTGCCTATCGCCCTTGAAGATAGGACTCACATACTACTTTCTCACTGGGGACCATTTGTTCATCCAGGCATTTACAAAACAGAATCTCTAGGGCTCTCTGCAAGCCTGCTGCACAGCCCTCAGCACTCTAGGATGCACTGATGTCAGGTCCAGGACTCTTATGGACCTTAGCCTGACAGTTTATTTTCACGTTCTTTTCTAGAACACAATGTGGGTCAGTGTTGTGTCGAATCCCCGTCTGTCCAAACGCAGGAAGGTTAGTTGTATCCTCTCTGAACACTGAGGAAAAGAAGCTGTTCAATGCTCCCCAGCTTTATCCTGGTCAGAATCTGCGTAACTACTCATATCTTCGCCAAGCTTCAGGTCTGATACTTCCTACTCGCGTTTTCAATTTCGACTTGTACATGGTAAACGCCTTTTGGGTTGACTTCTGACCTCGCGCAAACTTCAGCCTTGGAAACCCTTTTTCAGCCCCCTACACTCTATCTGCTTGGTTTCTGGCTCTTGCATACATCCCTCCTGTCTTGCTTCATCGTTTGACCCAACTCCACGTCTGAATTTCTGGGTTTAATTTTGTCGACTGCCGCATGGTTCATGTGTAGATCCCCTCGTATTCTAGAAGCACTGGGTTTTGGTCTTGCAGGTGTATATTTATCGATCAAATGGGTCATTTTACTAGCTATGATATTCAGCTAGTAAGCCTGCGTTCTTGTACCTTAATAAGTCAGGGCCTAAAGGATACCCCTCATCTCTTCCCCATCCCCATTGTAATTTCCTTGTAATATTTGCAATCTGGCCTGGCCTTATCTTGAACCAGTAACAGTTAAATCTGAATGACAACACTGGC